TTTTTGACTAAATAAATCTAAATCTAAATGTAAGTGGGTAGGCACTGGGAATGAGAATTCAGATGGTGCAAGCAGTATTACAGTAGGTGGACTTACTCAATTAAATTTCTTTTTTTACCTCTTACATGGTCGGTAATTGGTTTGTTTTCCTTCAATTTCTGCTCTCTTCGAAATTAATTACAAAAATAAGTGGGATTCCTTTGGAATTTTGGTACCTTTCTACTTCGATCATCTTTTCATTGCTTTGAATAATGTATCTGAACATTCTTGAGATTATTGTAATAGTATATCTTGCACAACTATTTAAAAGGGTCGTTGTTTTTACTCAAACTCAAAAGTATTGAACTTTGATGAATTTCGCTGCGTTAAACATGAATGTTTTAGAATTTAAAAAATCCCTCTCAGGGTAAAAGACACGTTTATTAAATGCTTATTCCAATATGAGTCGCTTTAAGGCAAATCTCCGAGTGATAAAACTTCCCGAGAGCGAGAGCGGACGAGCGGCGCGCAAGATGCGTGCGTACTCTTATCGCCCGAGGCGGTTACCAGCCTTCTCACTCCATCAGGCACTTAACCGCGAGAACGCGAGCGGGCGGTGAAGGTCATCGTGATTGACACGCTCGTCTTTCTCAACAGGGCGCGCTCGCCGCGCCGTTCGGCTCAGACAAGCTCAGCCGTGTCTCCTCTCGCTCAGCCTCGCCGCGATGCCTCACGACGCAACGTGACGCCTTGCTAGGCCACGCCACGCGCCGCGAACGACGCGACAGGAAAGCAAAGAGTGGTGGCGGGCGGGGCGGGTGGGGGCCTTGTTGGGGCTGCTGTGCCGACGGTCACACCCGGAGAATGAATAGCGGAAATCACATGGCGGCAGTTGCATTGCAACGACATCCGATAGAGAAGCGCCTTTTTGTAGGGCTGTGGACCTGTCTTTCCGTGCGGAATGTAAGTCAAGGGCTTTCTGAACGTGGGCGGGCCGATTGTTTGCTTTACTCAGTGCGGATACGATTCGGGGATGCCTTAATTGTGAGTCAGGGTCTCACTGAATTGGTGGGTCTGATATTATAATGTATGACTGTGCATGACATTAGAATAAATGATAGAATTAGTGTCTGATTGTGGCTGTATGTCTCCTTTTATCAATACATGATCGTGTGTGGCTGAAAACTATTCGTATTTTCAAAAGTTGTACATGACACACTTGAAAATCTCATTTTTAGAAAGGTCTGAAAATCTTTATAATTATATCGTGCTTTTGAAGTTATTTTTTCCAACTTTCAAAAATATAAAGAGTGAACCGAAATTGAGACTATTTATATTAGAATATACTGTTCTATTCGGAAAAAATCAAAGAAAAAATTTACAAAATTTTCAATTTTTTAAAAGGATGCCTATATTTTAGCAAAATCGCAAAATTTTACGAAAACGACTCATATTTTCGTACAAATTGTACACGGCTCTATTTAAATATTTTATCTTTGATAGATTTATGTTGAATAGATATCATGGAAGAAAACCTCTACCTTCAATACTAAATTTGTAGAAAAGCGTCAAAAAAATTTGAAGTTTTGCTATTTTTGAAAATTGGATTCCAACCAAAATGAGCCATTTTTGAGAAACTTTTAAAAATGTTGAGGCTTTATGTAAAGTATCAAATATCCATTCCAAATTCACAGGGGCTAGGTTGGACAGCCAGCGCGATTGGGCAATGTCAGTTTTGGAGCAAATCGTCTGAGCGGTTTAGATGCTAGTGTGGGCTGCCGAATGACGGACGTTTTGCCGTCAAACCATATTTTGGTATCAATGCCCTACCAAACAATTATCCACTTTTTTCCGCAAGCTTTATCCACTTTTTCTTACCAGGTCCCCATAATACGAGTTTTTCTGTCTAAAAATTGTCACTTCGAACGTCCATATCCAAATCCCCGCGCGTGCGTCTATTTTGAACCACGGCCGGAAGTAGAGCCCAGTGTTACACAATATTTAGAGGCTGGATGCCTAATGTGTCCGTTCACATCTTTATGGAAAATTGAAAGACTTTATAATGATTCGACAATAATGTTTGTTACCTTTAATACGTGTATCGAGCGTTAACGACTCGTTAAACATTTGTTGGCATCAGTAAAACAGTTACTTTCAACTCAACCTAGAAAATAAAACCCTTCAGATAGATACTCCATAAAAAAGATTCGCTAAATTTTTTATTGCCAACTTTGTAGTCTTCAAGGCGTGACCTACGACGCGTTTTAATTATTATTTAGTTAAATGAAATTGAATTAATAATAGTGTTGTTTTAATTATTGTAGTTATCATCGTTTATTATTATTGTTGAATTATTGTATTTAGTATTATTGTTGAATGCAATTGTCTGACCGTTTCATCTAATGCTGTTTTCTCGTGTTATCGTAAACTAAACGAAGTTAGAGAATGGGAACTTGTGGAAGAAGGACGAACGCTTGAATCTAAAAATAGCCTATCGATGACAAGAGAAAAACAAATCGTTTCTGATATGGTGAAAGATCGCCGTGCCCCACTCAACTCATCACATTGTCATTGGAAAGCTGTAGTGGAGAAGCCTCTTTCTTATTAAAATTAATTCATTGCAGTCTCGTGATTTTTCGTGTTAAAATCAATAATGACTGTGAACTATCGTATGAAAATCAATGACGGTCCATATTGTAAACATACTGAATTATGTTAAACATAGAAAGTTGAATGATTCTGTTCTTGAAATTATCAAAACAGAGCTTTAAAAGAATAGATAACAGGGGGAGAAAGCTCATATTATGAAAAATTTCAGTTCAGAATATTAAAGTTCACTTTGGCAAAAAGGTCATTTAAAACTTAATATTTAAATTAAATATTTAATTTAAAAGAATATTTAAATACTTAGTATTTAAATTCTCTATGATGTAAAACAAACAAAATTATAAACAATCAATTCATTTATTTTGCACGATTTACGTATTCATTGATCAAAGCAAAAACTTCTTAAGAACAACAGTACATTCCGAAAAAAATTCCTAATACCCGAAACGGTAACAAAATAATAATAACAATAATAATAAAACAATTCCCACAAAATTGCAATTAACAATGTAAAACTTTTTCTTCTCAGAAAACATTAATATTCTCATACATACTCATATTACTTCAAAATATTTATTTTACAATCAACAACATGATCAACTCGATGCGCCAAAGACAATTTGAAACGTGAGAAAATTAAATGTCTGTCTTATTGCAGTTGCAACTGAAACGACATTTACGATAAGTGAATACGGTGAGGAGCGTTGATGTTTCCAAAATATTGATTGAACATCGTGAAATGGACACCGGAAGAAGATTTCTAACAATTGAAACCTAACCGAACGTTGAATTTTAATACATTCCAACATTAATACATCTCTCATACATAATGCTCGTTCTGGAAGATGAGAAGGTAGGTTTCCATGCCCATTATCGTGGAAGGGGGGGGAGAATCCTTTGGAACTGCAGTTTTAAAATGTATTCCGATTTCACTGTTAAGTAGCATTTACCATAATTGCAGCTTTTGTCTTAATGTCATCTTAGATCATAACACATTATTCTCAAATAGCGTATATGAATCGTGCCAAAGATTTTCAAATTCCCAAGTAGGCTCACAGTTGGCACTTAAAGCTGCAAATTAAAATGAAATTAGAAACCGTTGTGATTACAGGAATCAAAATATTAACAAACTAGTGGCACGACCCAATTTGTCGCAACTGCAACTACTTGCAATAAACACAATTAAATTGTAGTAGCCATGAATGAGCCGGAATTATGAACGTGCTGCATGACGCGTGTACCAACACGAATACGGGTGAAGCCACCCACATACTACGTGCCTAACTTTTGCAACGAATGATTATCTTCCTTTGAGCAATTTCTCCGGCGTGTAATAATTCTACACATCAGGAGAACTTAACTAAACGAAATTCTAGGAATGATTGCAAAAAGCATGATTCTTATCTTTGTAAATTAAATTTAATTCTGTTCTTATAAAATTTTAAAAATAATATAAGTTAGAGGCACATTTAAATAAAGGTCCCTTAATTTCAAAACAAACATTCACAATAATACAAAAATATATTAAATCACGGCTGAATACATTTGATCGAACTAGTCAGTTTTTCCTTTCTCCGAAATTGAAATTTCGAAATGGTTACTTTCGTGAGAAAAGGGCGACTATTAAATGCTTATTTTATCTAGTGACTTCACTCAAGGTCATTTGCGATTAGACTGGTCATTATTTCCAAATCTGAAAATTAAAGTGTAATTTATGTTCGAAGGAATTGCCTGCGAGTTTGAAACTCGTCTGCGCGTTACATATTAAGATTAATTAGTTCAAAAAATTACCTTAGTTCAAAAGATATTATTTAATTCGAGCATTCTTACGACAGTAACAACAACTATAAAGTAAAAGCTTTAAATAGTTCACTTTAAAATTTTAAAATGGTACATTTTCCACAGCAAAGTTTACTTCCTTCTTTCTGGAAAGAATGTTTGTTGGAAGAGCCACATACAAGAGAGACGAGCTAGGTTTCTCATCTGGAAGTCAATGTCAACCACATGACGGCCTCGCCGTCCTCGCCGTCCTAACTTCAATTCATGTTTTCTTTTGTCCGCTAACCCAACGTGTTCCTCGTCAGGCACACGAGTAAACGCTGTGATGAATGCCACTGCCAAAGCCAGGGGAAGGTAAAGTTTTGAGTCCAGCTCTTTTGCACAGACACCAAAAATAAGCACTTCAGGTGTAGTATCTGACGTGCTTGTTTCTACATTAAATACCCGAATGTTACGAACAGACATGTCAGCACACGTCGATCAGTTGTCTGCCATTTCACAGTCGCGTATGTTTGAAAAGCTTATTTTCCATTTAGACTAGCAACAACAACAGCAACAACAACAAAAACAACAACAACAACAACAACAACAGCAACGTCCATGACGACTAATATAACCGTCGTGCAGCGACACACCTGTTTGCGGAGCAGCACGCGGTGTGCGGCGTGCAGGTCGAGCCCGGGGAAGGCGGCCGCCACCCCGGCCAGCATCTCGTCCACGCACGCGTCGGGCGAGTTGACGAGCTTCTTACACACTGCCATCTTTTCCTGGCGGCCGGCGGCGGGCGACTGAGGAGCCTGCGGCGGCGGCGGCGGCGGGCGCTTCGAGCACGCGGCGGCGCACGCGGCGTGCCTAGAGCCGCCGCCTGGGCGGTCCGCCGCCCCCGCCCCCGCCTCCGCCGCCGCTTCCGCGCGCGCCGTCGCCATGGCTCTCGCCAACGATCGGCTCAACTTATGCCCTTCCCTGCAAATAAAGTACAACACAATACAGCAAGTACATAAATTGCAAAGACTTGCACGCATCCAATAATTTGCCATCTGTAATAATATGGCACTTATCAACATTTAAATTCTGTTCTTATTCCTGTATTATCATCTTATTCCAAATGTTGAATGATTCGATATGCGTTTGAAAGAAAAAGAGACAGTAGTAAAATGAATATTACGAAATCTATGTATGTGGCGACTATGTCAGTAATTTCTAATGCACACCTAAATTGGAAAAGAAACTATACAGTGACCGCCCATTTGAGAATAGCCTATAGTTTTGTTAAATACATAGGAACTCGGGAAGGACCCAAAAAACAATTAAATTGTTTTTATTTTCACTGGAAAATGTAAATATTTGCTGTATTATTCTGCTTGTTTTTATACTGCGCGTACGGTCTAGATTCTCTCTTAAAACGAAAACATGTCATACGACAGCAAGATTCCAAGAAAAAAGTCACTCGCTATTCATTACTTCTTATTCACGTGAGGCGTTATGGAGCAGCACCTTTTTTGACATGTAGTGAAGCAAATTAACGTCTTGTCACACGCTGACAAAGCAAGAGATAGTGTCGAGGATGTTACGACTACAAGTTTGCCAACGGCAAAGGCACGCATTGATGAATTGAGCACATCTACGTAACCTACAGTTATGTGGCTAACAGTAGCTGACAAAGATATTCCCCATTTACTTATACATCAGAACTTCCGAAGCCTCAATTAAAAACCATTGCGATCATTGACAGTCTGGGGGTCATTGTCAAATGCCCGATTCATAATTGAAGATAGATTATAATATGTGATGCATTACATTTTTAAATTAAGGTAGATAGTAGGATTTCCTACAATAATCCACTATAGCATAAATGTCAACATCTTGGTAAATATAAAACACTTAAATTACATTTTCAACAGCATGTTTAAGCCTGTGATAACAGTGAATAGTATAATGTTACGCAAATGTAAATCTTTCACATTTCGTTAGTCTTCGCGACTAAACTCCAGAAATGAACGACATGAAATAATGTTCATGGGGTTTCCCTCTTTTGTACAGTTCATATGTCGTGTTTTCCTATTGTTACTTCTCCACAGTTTTCCTTTCGAGTGAAGTAATCACAGAGGATGAGATAGTTTTCGTATTTAGGGTTTTAGTTTAAATAGATGTTTGGCCATATTGATTCTCGTGGCTTGGGATTGATGTTTACGGGCATGTCAACTGCTGTCCCGTTAGTCCCGTTAGTGTAGAGATTGTTTTATCGGGAAGCGATAGCACCGACCCTCCACTGGATGGCGAGAACTGGCGCCGACCTACCTGTCATTTTGCGGGGCATTTTCACTCCCACCAGCGGCACATCGCCCCAGCCGAAGCAAGATCTGAGCCCCCAACATGTCTTCCTACATGCGTGGTTGTGTAGTCATATCAGCGTAAGTCTGAGTACGTTAGGGGAGAGGATAGGTCAAGGAAGAGAAAGGTCAATTATTACAACCGAGCATTTGATGCAACGAAGCATATAAAAGTGTGTGTATGTATGTATATGTATATTGCTGTGGCCGACTGCGTGCCTTTAAAAGTGCCGCCGGAAATTAGTTCCGGCGCCACTCAAGAGAGGGCGGCGATAGTAGACGCCGCGGCGTCGTCACGCTCGACCAGGCTCCGGAGCGGACGGGCGCAACCGTACCTGACAGCTGGCCAGCGGACCCGCAGCCCGAGCCGGCTATAAAAGTCGCGCCCGGCGAGTAGAGAGACAGTCAAGCGCCTGCCTACATTGCGAAGAGATAAGTGGATTGAGAACAAGTGCGACGACACAGCTACGGTTACGGACTTTCTCTCTCTTTCTCTCACAACGGCTGCGATTTTGGACATCTCCCCGGGAAATTGTGACTGGGACATTCTTCGGTACATCTTCTGGAAAATTGCTTGGATCTGGCTTGAATTTGTCTACCCCTGTACTGATTGTGGTTGGAATAAATCCATTTTTAGAAATTGCTTTCTTTTGGATACTCCATATATGTCTATCTTCGACCCAACAAAGTGGCTCAGTGTGTAGCGCTTTGGATTTTCAATCGGAAGGTCCGGATTTGATACCCGGCCAGCTGAGTTTTCGTGGTTTCCCTCTCAGTCACAAGTAGAATGCTGGAATGGTTCTAAAAATCCACGAACACCCCACCTCCCACTACCTTACTTAACACCTACCATCATAATAGTCCTTTCACCTCATCATCACCCAATAATAATAATAATAATAATAATAATAATAATAACGATAATATCGTTTTCATTCCAGACTTCTTGAATTTTGCAAGGCTGGAAAGACGTCGTGGATTACCAGGTTACTAATATAAAACGGAAAGGAAGCAGTAGAAACAAGAAGTATTCAGATCAACAGGGGTATTTTTTAAGGACATTCGCTATCCCCCTGCTGTTTTGGATTAGTTTGATCGTACTATCTAGAAAGTTGCAAGCTGACTTTAGTTACAAGCTCCATGGTGATGAAAGACCAGTGTCACATTTGTTTTACACAGATGATCTTAAAGTGTTTGCTAAGAATGAGGCGATTATCTTCAAGATGTTGTCTGTCGTGAATGATTTTAGCAATGTCATCTGCATGAAGTTTGGTCTTGACAAGTGCGCAAAAATCAATTTAAAGGGAGGCAAAGTGACGTCAGAGAGCATAGACGTTGATATGCACACTATGATTCAAGATCTTGGTAAACTTACAAATATCTGGGCATTGAAGAATGTGCGACCATCTAGAACCAGACAATGGAAGACAGAAGTCGTAGGGAGTATTACAGAAGAGTGAGACTCGTCATGCAGTCCGCCCTGAACTCCAGAAATAAAATGTCTGCAATTGGTAGTTTGGTGCCTAAAGTTGAGTACAGTTTCGGACTAATGGACTGAACTGAGCAAGAAATTCGAATCATGGATCGAAAAAACAGAAAATAGCTAACAATGAATCAAGTCACCCACCCTCGAGCTGATGTATCTTGACTTTATGGATCACGTAAGGAAGGAGGAAGAGACCTCAATTTGAAGCCTCCTGGCACAATACAATAGTCGGGATGGGAAAGTATGTAGTCAGTCTTCGGCTCTAATGAGCCGTGATGAAATTTGGCCGAAGAATGGGAAACAGTGGCATTGTTAGTGTAGCGAGAAGCATTGCAGAAAACACTATGCAAGACACGCAGAATAACATACACTGAACTTCTGATGCTACTTAACATGAAATGTGAGAGACAAAAAATGTTAAAGAAACCGTGGAGAGACAAACCACTCCACGGACGATATCTGGAAAGAATGGTCAAAGTGCAAATCAATAAAGAACTATCATTTATGTGGCTTAAAAGGGGAAAAATTAAGCCAGAATCGGAAGCAGTTCTAATAGTTGCTCAGGATCAGGCGTTGATATCACGACATTACGATAAAACGGTTCTCAAAATTTCTCGAGATGATAATTGTCCAATTCTAGCAAAAACCCAATACTTGAAAAGACACGACAGGGTGTGTAGTTACCTCCACTGGCAAATCTGTACCACCTTCGAAGTTCCAAACACGTGTCTCAAGTGGTGCAAACACTCACCAAAAACGATGACATCTATTGGACTCTATACAATATTGTACGGTCAACAAATTCAAATGGATCGTCTGATAGCAGCAAACAAACCGGATATTGTTATCCCGGATTTGGAAAAAAATCGCGTTTATTTGTAGATGTTGCTGTGCCTTACGATCAGAACATCGTAATTAAGGAGGCAGAGAAATGTCTTTGAGTTTGGAAATCGACATCAGCTGAATATGGGGCGTAAAAGCGATAGTCATTGGAGCTCTTGGATTTGTTCTTCAGGTAAAGTTTGTGTAATAACTTGGCTAAACTAAAAGTGCAAGAAATTGATTTATTTGGAACAGCACACAATTTGCGCAAAGTATTGTAGAAGCACCGAGAGCCCCTAGATCTGCTCCTGGAAAGCTGATTGCAACCTGGAGTAGATTGTATATTCAGCTGACTCATAACATCTTTAGTCAATATGTAGATGAATAATAATAATAATAATAATAATAATAATAATAATAATAATAATAATAATAATAAAATATTAATAATGATTCTATCATCCCTAATTGATATTCAAGGCTACCAATTTTGTCTTAACCAAGGGATGCAGCTGAAGGGCTGATCCACATAATTCCACACGTTGATCTGTCCAGGATAGAATACAACTGAGCTTCGAAGAGAGAAATATTAAGTGCGTGGTCATAAGTGGGCCATACGCGAATAATAATAATAATAATAATAATAATAATAATGATAATAATAATAATAATAATAATAATAATAATAACAACAATATATAAGAGTGGGTATATATGTCTGTTGAAAAGAATGCAAGTCTGCATTCATAGGCTAGTCCGGGAGGAAATTCTCTCAGAAAATTAGTAAACGTTTAAGAGATTTATGAGTACGGAGGTTGCAACAGAGGAACTCGAATTCTGCCTCCTATCTCCTTGGAATAAAAAAATACTTTCGAATCCATCAGAAATTTCAGAATTTTACTTGGTAATGGTACACGTTTTCACAACCGTTTATTCCACGTTTCTTGGGTACGTGTGTATTGCTTTTTTTTTATTTTATATGATGTAAGACACATCAAGATAAAAATGATCTAAGAATAAATTAGAAATATTCTATTGTACTGCGACGCAGTAGCCGACGCGAAGGGGCGTGAACACACAATAGCGGTTCCAGCCCCTGCTGTGGCGAAGAGTCTCAGCCTGTAGAACCGTGAAAGAGGTCACAATGAGCGCGGTCGGCGAGACACGGCGAATATAAAGGTTCCCCAAGCGAGTGGAGTTCTCAAAAGAAAACGAAACAGCGGAGCGAAGAAGACGTCAAGAGACAAGACATAAAATAGTGATAATGTTTAGCTACTGTCAATCCTCTTAATGCGCACAAAAAACACTCTCGGACTTGACTCGAAGATAATGGAGAGAGAGAGAGAGAGAGAGAGAGAGATGTGACCCCTTTAAAATTGCGACGTACGTGTCACTGAGCAAATTTGGTTCAAAGCGGAAAAAGTCTCTGCACTCCGATCGACAGGCCCGAGTTATAAATTCTTACAAGAAAAGGCAACCGAGAGTTTAGGAATGCGAAGGAGACGCGCGGGTTAATTAGACAGCCACAGATCTGCGGTGGTGTGCGTGAGCAAGGGATGATCGACGGACGGTGACCCGGCTTCATCCAACCAATGAAAAGGCATAATTATATACCGGGCTAGAATAAGCAACGCCGAAGAACCGAGGAGTAGGTTTTCTCGATCAGGTTTTCGTCCAGTTTCCCTGATCCTCGAGCAAATGCTGAAATGACCCATTGTTTTGCTTCTGGACATAAATGTAACTTCAAATAACTTTTGTATTATTAAATAATTACAAAAAATGTTCTCAAACACGGTTCCAATTTTCTTTAAACTTTGGATAGTGATTGTGATGGATGCACTAAATGCATGATTATAAGATGACGTGAACGGCATATTGCTTTATTCTTTTGTTTTGTTTCCAAAAATTACAAAAATGTATTTTTTTGACATGTCTCTCACATTGTTTATGTTTACATAAGCGTCGATTTGTTAAATAATGTTATGTAGTTTGTCGAAAACTCAACCGTTTTCTGCAAAAATGAGCTCAAAATTGCGCATTTTCAGAAACGCTCAAACACTATTTTCTCAGAAACGGCTCAAAATTTTTTATTCGAACTTTTCAAAAGGACAGTGCTAATTGCACTTTTCAATATAACGTAACGTTCATTTCGGAGTATTTTTTTAAATTACACAAATGTAATTTTTTTAAGATCTCTCACGCCGGTAATATGCACATTTCAAGCAATTTGTAAACACTATTGTATTTGTGAGTTAAAGTGGTTCAAATAACTTTTAATGAAGATTTTCGAAAACTCAAAAATGTCTATAAAAATTGCTTCAAATTTCGAATTTACTGTAGCATTAATCGCAATTTTTTTAAACGGGTCCAAATTTTCATTAAAAACGAGATTTTACTGTTCTTTAATATTTTAAAAATAATATTTGCGTTATATTATTAAGAAACAGAAAAATCAAGAAAATTGTTAAAAAATGTACTTTGGGGGCCGATAGATGGCAGCACGCAGTGTTTTTTGTTTGCGCTGACGTCGAGCACAGTGACTTGTTCACAAACTTCGAGTCGCAAGGAACTTGTTCTTTCACTTCAGTTATATCGAGACTTGCTCTCTGACTTGGAGTATGAAGACAATGGTTTCGACTGTCGTTCAACGAGCGAGGGCGCAGTCATCGCGCTGCACAATAGGCGAAATAGTATAGTGACTATTTTACCAGCTGAACTATGTTTAATTTCATACCTTACATATCCAGACATAATCACATAGGTAATTAATTAATGCATTTGGGCATGTCTGACAAATACGCAAAGTCATCTAAATTATTCAGCGAAATGTTACAGAGGTTACTTCTCCCATGATCATCCAGCCGGGCAGGCCTATGAAGTGTTTATGTTTTGCAATGCAAGTAATTTATGTTTTCAATATAAAAATTAAGCAATATTATCAATGGGAAACTCACAACGCATGATATTAGTTAATCATTGGATCCCATTACAATGACAGACCAGCGGGTTACGCTCATCACCACATTAAATGTAATGTGGTTACGCTCATCACCACATAAAATGTTCAATTTAACATTCTCTGTTTTTACATAATTTTTTCTGTTATATTATTTGGTATGTTTTCATCTAAAGATATGATAGGGAGTACTGCAAATAAGTTAAATTCCTTGAAACAAGTATACTGGAATGTAAGTAAGGAACTAAATTTAATGTAAGTTCTGAACTTAGTTTATAATACATATTTTGCTGTGAAAGATTATTTCTATTCTCCAATTCACAAAGAATCTTTATCAAACGCAAGGTCAGAGTCTGTATTCACTAATTCGGTGTATCAGCAAGCATTATGTAAATGATGACGTACGTAAGCATTGGTGATCCAGGATGGCAGTAATACATAACGATGGGAAACGACCCTCCAAATCCATAAATTCATTAAGTATATTTGGCATTTGTTTTCAAGGAACTAAATTTAATCGTTCAAAAACTAAAAGTCAGTACTATGTATGGTCTTGTAGCTTTTCCTGGGCTACTGTACTTCTCTCATAAAACTGTACATAGTAATCGAGTAACCTGCTATCGACCGACGGGTGTCACTGTAGTGCCTCTGTCCGGGAGGTCCTACATGTCGACTGCCGACGGTTAGAAGAGGCATCAAGTTAAACCAGTATATGACTATGAGATATTCTCCAAAGCGTCATTCGTGGAGTGAATAGTAAAAAGGATTAAGTATGACGTGATTGGATGGTGATTACGCCTGTCCTACCGTTCAGTACGATAAGAAAAGAAGTAGTTTTACAGAATGGTACAGATTTTATCGCTGGTTAATTTCCTTATTCTTCAATCTATGTCATCTATTCGGTTTTGCCCTACCATTTCAGCTGTCTTAATTTGTCTGCCTTTGCCCACTTGTCTATTGGCGCGCTAAAAAGAACTTTTTTTCACAATTTCTCAATTTTTTGGATCCCTAAAAAAATTTAACTTAACGAATTTTTATAGGAGGGCAAAATATGTTCACACATGCACATTTTCATTCGTAAATTTGGAGCTGTTTTGAAGAAAATGTCGTTTGAATATTTCTAAAAATATGTATATTGAAGTTCACTCTTACCCATAACATTCTATTTTTCGAGAAACTTCCAAAGAAATTATTTGAAACTATTGAACCAACAAATGCGATAATATATAAGAAATACTCGTAATAAAAATATTTACAAAATGAGAGATATATCAAAAATATACTTTTCTTTAATTTTTGAAAGAACAAAAGAATATAGCAAAATGACATTTATGTAATTTTGTAAGATTCGTCATTAAAATTAAATAAAAAAATTGAGTTTTTAGAGTTTCTGAAAATGGATTTTTTAGCTACTTTTCACAGAAAAGCTTTTTTGAAAATGAGGAGATTTTTAGAAACTTTATAAGACATAATTTGAAGCACTTGCATTCACAAATGTGGCAAGGTATACAAATCGCCGGTAATGTAAATATTAACGATGTAAGAGAGATATCAAAAAAATGCAATTGAGTAATTTTTTTTTAAAACCAAAAGAATGCAGAAAGATCGGGATAATATCACCTTACACAGTGAATTTATTGTTTACAGAAGATTTGAAGAAAAATATATTTTTTTCTTCAAACTCAAATACTCATCTATAGAAATTTCCAACAGATGAGATATCTGCTGTGATACAAAAGGAAGCCACATCGATCGCTTGTAGGAAGAAACATGACTATGTGTCAATTTGTAAACTGAAAACTAATTATTTCTACAAAGTAAATTAACCGAGTTATTTATTGTTAATTTTAGTATTGTAACTTTCGTCTTGTTAACTTTAGTATTGTACTCTATTGTAATAGTGCTACGGAAAAAGGCAAATTTCGACAGGAAAACTCTTCTTGTCTAGCTAGCCCTGATATTGAAAACGTGGACAAATCTTGTCTCCATATATAGTAAATTACTTCCTCTAACACGGATAGTCAAAATGGTGGCAGCTGATGCCCCAACAAGCTGGAAATTACAGATCCATCGAATGATGGAATTAAAATTTCTAATATTCAGAACATTATATAATCCGTAATAAAACGTAAGCAGTTCATGTAAATTAATTAAAACTAAGTTAACAGTTTCTCAGTATTCAAACAGTACTTTTATGTGTAATGTATGTGTCAGGTATGCTCTCCTCCTGTGCACATGGTTCCTACTTTTTACCTTCCTACTTCCTATATTTCCACTGGGTACATGAGTGTTTGTCTTAGTTTTGCATTGAGACAATTGTCGGAAATAGAAATCATAGAATTCAAAAACGAACTAGGTTTTGAAAGTACGGTTACTGCACTCCAGCATTGTTTAGACTCGTTTTACACTAATTCATTTCATGGTCTTAGTTGTTGTCATTACTTCTACTGGTGGTGATGATAACAAAATAAAATTATTTCGAAAATGTCTCTACCTTGGGATATAATGCAATAATAGAATGTCTGTAATTTATTAGGCATGTATTCTCTTCCAAAGTAAAATTCGTATTAGCACATTCAAATCATCACTTCAGATGTTTTACTTTACGTCATAACTTGTACAATAATTAATATTTCAAAATGTGAAGAACGTTAGTAATTTCATTTAGACATTAATACACCATATTTATTAAAGCACAAATATCTCATTTTTATTTGAAGAGGAAATCTACACGCTTTTCTTTTTGATGTGTGAATTTTTCAATCACTCTCTCTTTAAAATCAGCAACTTCTGTTCTGTGATTCCTCTATGTTGATGGACATGGACAAAGACATTGACATCTGTCCGTGACATCATTTCATAGAAACGTCTTTACATGTTTGAGTGTCGAAAAACACATCTCAGCTTCAGGTAATTGTAATTGTAATTAGGATTTCTAATAGTATCATTACTTCATAGTATGTTTCTTCTAACTTGCACTCTTTGAGAAACTGATACAAACTAAGAGCGCCTGATAATCTCTTGAATTCTTTGGCACTGACATTTGCTTCAAGATCCTTGCCAATTTTTTAGAACTGAAAAACTTGTAAGAAACACAAACAATTTTTATTGTTTCATCTGGAAATGTAGAATTGGAAACTGGAATGTTTTTTAACATTAACAAAGAAGCAGCTATCAAATGACCAGTGAAACAAAATCTTTCTATCATTTGAAAAATAATTACATCAAAAACTTCCTTTGCTTCTCTCGCCCACTCATTATTTTAAGCCTTCCTTTTCTTTGCAGGTGAAGATTGTGATAGATGTCGATGTTGCATTGTCATTTCTACGTTTTGTCATATTTTCTTCAAAGTTCCAAAGACTATGTTCAATGACAGTGAAGTCAATTTCTACTTCCTGGAGATGCCCAAATAATGTATCAATAAAGGTCCAAACTTTCCAGAAAAATGAAAAGAAAAAAATAGCTTCCATTTTTTAAGGTTTTAAATCACTGGCAGCTTGGGCGAGAGTACTGTAATTTTTTATGTCATTTATCAGCAAAATTATTTTCATGCATTGAATCAGGGCATGCCTATGGTAAAATGTTGTCGACAGAAAATTCCACCTGATTGGACAGATCTAGGCAATTGTTTTTTACCATTTCATCTAATATTGACGTCTTCTGTGGGTTGTTTGAAAAAATGTACATAGGCCCTGAACACTGGCAAAAAAGTATTTCAACATTTCTATTTATTTATAAACTCTCGTCGTCAATCTGGTGTGCATGACAATGGTGATATTGAGCATTTAGATAACTAATTTTAACAAGTGTTTGAATACCGATCTAATGTTTTTCAAAAACGTTCAACGAAGAGAACAAGAAACGCTTAAAATAATGGTGCATGTCTCATTTTAATTCAATTATCTGAATTTTCAAAAATTGAAAATTTGGAAATAACGCGAGAAATTTTGTGCAGTTGTAGCGCGACTAGTTTAAGTTTTCAAAAATTTGATATCTATTATTTAATTTTTAGAATGCTACTAAGAATTATAATTATTGCCTTGTGCAAACAGTTCACTAAATAACAAACCATATACCCCGATTTAAACAAATAGTCTATGCCCGCCAATATGTTTTTTTTCGTGTTATACCACTACATACTATTCTACACAACTACGTACAATACACAGAATGGGATGAATGGGGGTGGGGGTGAAAAACGAACCCGTTATGTGGCATTGAATGTTTATGGTATCCTTAATCAAAGGCGACCGTAAGTGCCTCATTCGATTATCAAAATAAAGCGTATTTTTATATTATAATATAATTCTTTGACTTTGGTTATCTAAAATAAAACTTTACAAAACTGATATTACTATAAAGAATTCATGGCCTTCTTTTAACTAATACGAGTATCAACATCCGTAAGTCACCTTTTGTAGGACGAATAGTAAAATTAAGCAAAAATTATACATACATAGTTCAATGGATTTTTCAAAATGAATAAAACGTACGACATTCGTATCGAAACACCGTTTTACCATACTCGGTAGGTTATTCAACACGGTCTAACGACCTCGTTTAATAATTCTCTAATATCATTGTTTTAATATCTTACTACAGTGATTTTGTAAATAACTATTTTACCAACATCCAAGAAAACTGTATACTATCAATAATTGGAATGATTTATGAATAATTTGTATTACGTATTCACAATAGTTTCAAGAATTATTTGAAGAATAAGTGACATATTTTATATTTTTTGCACAAATTTATGTCCATTATCCCCTTCGCCCACTGAGAAAATACACGA